TAAATGAATAAAAAAAAGTCTCAATATGAACACCTTTATATGATATATTTTTCTCCAAGTCCAAAAAGCGGTTTCTGTAAGTGTTTAGAGCTTCCTTAATGTGTTTAATTTATTTTCTCTCATTTCTTGTGTAACCTGTATGTTTGTTTGGATTTTTGGGGCTTTTTAAATTTACTTTAAAGTTCATTTTCAGTCCCAAATACTATTAATTATTTTCGAGCTAAAAAATACATTTTTTTTTTTTACATTTTTAAAATTAAATTTTCAATAAATGTTTAATGATTTTATTTTTATATATATTTTTCTTCTTCTTTTTTTTTTATTTCAGTAAGAATTAAAAAAAAAATATCGTAGACTTTATCGAAAAATGATAACAAGATGTAGTTTCGCCTCTCGCTTTCAGGTCTGCCTGTTAAGCTAGTAAATGGACGTGATACTACAGAAGGTCGACTGGAAGTTTTAATTAACAATGAATGGGGGACCGTTTGTGACAATGAATGGGACGACAACGATGCCAAAGTTGTCTGTCGCAATTTGGGACTCCCCAGGTTTATTTTATTTATAAATACTGAACATTTTGATCAAGCCCTGCAATAATTTAAAAATAAACGAATGTATGTGAATATATTTAAAGCTTGGATGGATAAATGTTCTTGCAGTGCAAATGCTGTATCTCGAAGATCTTCATACTTTGGTCAGGGCGATGATAAAATATGGTTTGATAATTTGGACTGCCTTGGTACAGAAGATGAAGTAATGAACTGCAGTCACGATGGAATCGGAGTTCACAATTGTACTCACGACAACGATGCTGGAGTCAGCTGTAATATTCTAAAGAAGTTTTAATTACACGTTTATCATTACAATACCATTTATAGTTTATCATACCCCGCTTGAAAAGTGGGAGGATACATAGTAATTGGAATGTCTTTCCTTTCATCTGTTATGCTTTTGGGTACCAATTTCTCGCTTATCCTCTTACACCATCAAATAAAATTTAATAAAACTCTCACAGAATCCTGTTACATAGTGCCATTGTTCACCCCTACTTGACTTTGATCCCACACATATTTTAGGTTTCCCAGGCAAAACATGTACACTGCAATTCTTTCTTTAATATTGGAGAGTACACAAGTCTTATCCTCAACCCCTCCCATATCACTGAATAAAATTTAATAATACTTTCACAGATTCGTTATTACATAATGTTATTGTGCACCTCCCATTTTACTTTTCAGTTGAAACTTAAATCAGACCCCCACAGAAAAATATGCATTTTGCCAATATAATCATATGGGAGGCAGGGAGTATCATTTAGTGAGCTCAGTGCTCACAATACCATTAGTTCTATTTCAAATTATTTGCCGTTAAACATTCCAAGATGAGGGAATAAAACACATTTAATTAAGAACTAGAATTATACATGCTCCTAATTGTGAGTAGATCAATCAAAGACTGATGTGACATTTCCCTTTAAATACTACCATTTTTGTATTCAAAACTAACACAAATGAAATATATGGAGATGACGAACAGTATTCAAGCTCAAAAGTCCATTCAAACAGAACAAATCAAGTGCATCGCAAACATGACCTTCAGAACATCAGAGGTGGGATCAGGTGTCATGGAGGAGTGAACATCCCCTACCGACCTGCAATGTGTTCATGGTCGGGAAATAACATATAGACCCATCGACAAATCAGTTTGTGAATTAAAGCCTAACAATTAGTAATAAAAATATCAGTCTGTATGTATTTGACTAAGCGATAATGACTGTAACTCCTGACATGATCATTATGTCGACCAAAAACGTGCAACATGATGACTGAATTTAACCGAGACTGTTGAAATTCTTGTTTCATCAACTTGTTTATCAATACATGAATAAATGCCCTCTTTTTAGAAATTTAAACATTGAGCAATAACCAACAAAAAGAAATATATCAATATAATATTAGGACAGAGAAGAACGTAATAGTCCTTTCTATGTTATAAGGCTTACATACCCGCCTGGTGGGAGGACGTGATAGGACAGAGGGTCGAGTTGAGGTTTACATCAACGATGAATGGGGTACAGTCTGTGATGATGACTGGGATAACAGCGACGCTCAGGTTGTCTGTACTCACCTGGGATTTCCAAGGTATGTATATAATCGAAATTGTGATTGAATAGCAAATATCGAATAAATCCCGAACTGGGAATTTTAAATCACCCAAATGAAGTCAACAGAATGAATTAATTAATTCCTTAACCACACCCCCACACCCTAACAGAAACTTGATTATTATGATTTTTACATTTTTGTAACATCATAATTTTGCATAGAGAAGAAACGACAACAAAAATATGGTTTTCTTTAAATATTGAACGGACAAGATAAATGGGGAACGCTTCTTAAAACTCCAGCCCATCAAAAGTACTGTATAAAATAAAGTATACAGTAGATTGTAAGATGGGAAAGAATTCAATAATTTTATTGTATATGATACAAAACATATTCGTTTAAAATAGCTTTACAGGAGTAGCGCTTGGATCTGCCTCTTTTGGACAAGGTAGTGGGCGTATCTGGCTGGATAATGTTGGATGTACAGGATATGAACACGATATACGGAAGTGTCGTCATAGTAGTATAGGAACAAGTGACTGTCACCACAGCGAAGATGCTGGCGTCAGGTGTAAGTAAGAGCTAAAGCTTTATAAGCTGTAACTTTTGAAATTTTTTTGTTTCGAAATTGTAATTAACTTTTTCGAGGATAGAAATAAGAACATTTAACAATTTTTGTTTTTCATATTTGCAATGGAAAAACTATTTCTAAGGTTTGATTAAGCAAATTGAAATCAGTATCGTTCTACACAATTCTGTGGTTTCTTTTATGAATACTAAATATTTGATTTCACAGAAGGCTTTCTACTGAAAAAATTTCAATTCTTTATTTAAGTCTTGTACATAAAAAAGGTTTAGATAACAAACAAATTTATCATCATGATTAACATTTTAGCAGCAGAAAAAGATTTTCAAAAATACAGTTCATACTCTCAAAATTGATCCCTAATGATATAATGATTATTTTCTAAAAGAAAATTTGTTTTCATTTACTTTCAAATCTGTTTTAAGCATTTTCTTCTTTTTTAAATTTTATACATTTCTTCAAGATTATTGAATATCATAGGCACATTCTTTATATTTTCGCAAAAATTATTGTATCATGACTTTTAGTGTAAGCTTATAAAATTTCTATGAATGTATATAAGGTGTACCCCTGCGCCTGGTTGATGGGTCTTCAAAGAGAGAGGGTCGAGTTGAGGTATACATGAACAACCAGTGGGGGACCGTCTGTGACAACGATTGGACCAAAAATGAGGCACAGGTTGTGTGTGAAAACATTGGATACGCTGGGTTCGTAACATTTACTGGAGCATTATATACCAAATAGAACCACTGAGTATTGAATGCCTTAACTAGCTAGTAATCACAAAATGCCCACAGTTCATGCAGCAAATGAAACCTTACCCACATGCACTTGTTTCGAATATTAATTTTTAGCCCATTGTATTTTTATTATCATACTATGGGTTAGAAATGTATTTCCGAAATAAATACCTGTGGGATAACTTTAACTGTATAATGCCCAATGGTCTTTGTCAATGTTCAGTCCTTTTGTAGGTATAATGCTGTAGAGCGTCGTTCTGCATACTTCGGGGAGGGCAGTGGAGATGTTTTATTGGACGAGGTGCAATGTACAGGAAAAGAGAACGACCTGCTATCGTGTAGTCATGGATATGTGGGCAAAAATAACTGTACACACAACAAAGACGCAGGAGTCAGCTGTAATTACTGTTCTTTGTTTAAAAAAAAACTTTAAAAGAAGTATTTAGTAACCATATCAAAGTTTTTATTGGTAATCATCATTTTTATTATTTGTTTCATACATTATTCTGAAGGCCTGTCTAAAACATACATATTAAACTCTTTCGCCTTACATTATTTTTACATATTCTAATACTTCAGTAACTTGTTCTTTCATTAAGCAAATGTCATCATTTCAGGCCTTTCCGTTCGGCTGGTTGGAGGAAAAACTCCGATGGAGGGTCGAGTAGAGGTTTTGATAAGGAACGAGTGGGGGACTATCTGTGCCACAAACTGGGAAAAGGAGGATGCTGCAGTCATTTGTCGTATGTTAGGATATGACGGGTTAGAGGAACACCCAAACAATGGGTTCTAAGTTTTATTTTACTAATTCCAAAAAAAAAATTTTATCAAGCTTCTGAAATGAAATATAGGAAACACTCTTAGTAGTGATGTGAAGCTAACTTTGTTGGCGAAAGATAGAATAGGAAAAATATATCCCCTGCATTTTACTTTCTGTTCATTAATCTTGTAAAAAGGTTCCATACATTGTTAAGCGTTGTTGGTATTAAGGCTGTTGCCTGATTAAACGAAATTAAAGTGTCTACTTGAATGACCACCTAAGTGTCTAAGATTCTTCTACATGTACTTAAGTTTCATACCTTCACTTTCGGGTATATTGTTGTTATTCTAGTCCGTTTATCTGTCTCTCTCTCTGCTTGAAACTTCTCTTTTTAAGCATTGGCCATCCATTGGTGTCTTAAACATGTGATGTTTAGTACTCCTCACGATAAATGCCAAATGGACGTCACAATTAGATGTATTTTTACATGATTCCCTGAACTCCTGTTTTTGTCTGTGTTTGAGAGAGAGAGAGAGAGAGAGAGGAGGATGTATGTTTGTTGTGTTTGTACATGTGTTTTGCATGTGTGTGTTTTGGTAGCCATTCATCTTTTGAATTCGGTAATGAGCAATAAGGTTTTTAATTATTTATTTCACTGGGGATCACAAAAATCCTTTTCTGAGGAAAATTAGGTTCCCTATATACTCCTCTTTGTAGTAGACCATTCTAATTTTGGAATGTGATTGATCGTGTATTGTAGATGTACCAACTCGTTTTGGAATTCTGATTTTTACCCTGCAAGACCAACAAAGGATCAAAAAACAACGTTTTTCTATGAAAAACCTCCTTTCTCTGAACTTTGCTTTAAATTTATGCCTTAGTCAGTTTGCCTGTTAGCTGCGGAACTGTAGCTCTCTACTTGAGAAAATTCGGACAGATAAAGCAGAGAGCTACATATACAGGCGTTGTAAAAACCATCTATTTATGCTGCCTATTTTTTATCGCTCACTTGCTTATTTGTTTTCCCTCGCTTTTAGAATGGTATCAGATAATTACTCGTATATTTAACTACTATAATTGATACTTTTTTCACCTTTCAACGGACCGAAATACTAGCAATCCTTTTTGGTTTTGGAATTTCGGTTTTTTTAAAAAAAAAATTTTTAAAATCCCATTTAGACATTTCCAAAGACAGCCCGTTGGGACCGTTGAAAGGTAAATGAAATTCTAGTATTGGGAATAAGAGATAAATTTATGGTTAATGATCGGATGCCTTAGTTAAAGCTTGGGAATATACCAGAAATAATACTCGAAGTGATCGACAAAAATCGGCGGCGTAAATAGAAGGTTTTTACAACACTTGGATCTGTAGCTCTCTGCTTAATCGGTCCGAATTTTCTCAAGCAGAGAGCTACAGCTCTGCAGATATTTGCCAGTGTGACTTACATGAGAAAAATGGTTTCAGAATGTTTATTTTAAGCATGACGAGGAGAAGGGAGGGGAGTCGAAAGACGTTTCAACCCTAAAAACTGGTTTGTTGTGCGTCACCCTTATTCTATGCTGTAGATATGGCACGCCAAATTCACAAAAATGAGCTAATCATAGTTTCACAGTCGATAAACTAAGTTTATCGGTTGTAAACTACAGTTTACGGACTGTAAACTATAGTTAACATCGTTAATCTATATTTTACATCTGTGAATCATAGTTAACCCGATAATCTATGTTTCACAACCGTAAACTATACTTAACACCAAAAACAATCATTTGCGATTGCAAAACATAGATTATCTGATAAATACAGTTTCACGATTGTAAACTATGGTTTACAACTCTTAACTATAGTTAACGATCGTAAATTATAGTTTGCAGACGAGAATCTATGTTCATCAACAAAATCTATTGTTAACGTTTTATTACAGACAGATAAACAGATAAGCATTCGTAAACCATAGTTAACAACCGTTAAATATAGTTTTACAGATGAACACTATACTAAACAAATTGTAAACTATAGTTCACGATTTGTTAACTATAGTTTACAGTCTATAAACCTAGTTTATCAATTATGAAACTATGTTTAGCACGCCAAATTCCCAAAAATGAGCTAATCATAGTTTCACAGTCGATAAACTAGGTTTATCGGTTGTAATCTATAGTTTACGGACTGTTAACTATAGTTAACAACGTTAATCTACATTTTACAATTGTAAACTATAGTTAACGCGATAATCTATGTTCCACAACCGTAAATTATACTTAACATCAAAAACAATCATTTGCGATTGCAAAACATAATTTACCTCATAAATACAAATTCACGATTTGTAAACTATGGTTTACAACTCATAACTATAGTTAACGATCGTAAATCATAGTTTACAGACGTGAATCTATGTTTATCAACAAAATCTATTTGTTAACGTTTTTTTTACAGACAGATAAACTTTGATTAGCTTTCGTAAACCTTAGTTAACAACCGATAAATATAGTTTTACAGATGAAAACTATACTTAACGAATCGTTAACTATAGTGTACGGTTTGTAAACTGTAGTTTACAGTCGATAAACCTAGTTTATCAATTGTGAAACTAGGTTTAGCTCATTTTTGTGACTTTGGCGTGCCATATGTAGAAGATTTATCTTTTGGAAAAGAATTGGTTTCATGCTATAATTTTGCAATAATGTTTAAGGATTATCATTTTCAAAATTAGGGCCATGAAGTGGATAGGTATGGGTTTGTTTCTACAAATAAGATACGGAGATAATGAACAGTATTAAAGCTTATGAGTCCAATTAAACAATACAAATCAGAGGTGGAGCACAAAATGGGTCTCTAAAACATCAGACGTGGGATCAGGTGCCATGGAGGAGTGAGCATACCCTTCTGACTGTTAAGACCCAGCGTGTACTCCATATCAGGTGGGATCAGGTGCCATGGAAGAGAGAAAATACCTTTCTGACCGGTACGACCAAATTTGTATTCCTTGTCGTGATCGGGGAAATCGGAAAATCAGTGTGTTGATATTAATGGCCTAACAATTATTATGAAAATTTATCAGTCAGCATTTGACGTACGGTAGGATTCTCCTCACACAAAACTGTATTTCTTGTATCTAAAAATTTATGAAAATTTCACAGAATCAAGAAGTGGAAGTATCAGTTAGATTAGTTTTGACCGTTTTATATTAGAGTCAAGGTCAGATCAAGGTCATTACCTTTTCCCTGGACATTAAGAATTAAAATGACTGCATCCAATCATGCGATAGGGTCTTCTATTTAAAAGATTAAAATTAATGTTTTTCTTTTTGCATAAAAAGATATTACTATATACAATGTAGGGTCTATAAGATGATATTACCAAATTGACACCAATAGTTTATCAAAGATGAATTTTGGCTCATCTGAATTTTCTCTATTTTTTTCTTTAAGTTTTAGGATATTTAAGTACTTTTTATATGCACTCTATATTTTATTTTTTCTTATTTTCACATATTGTAAAGAAGTCATATAGAGATACAAAATGATACAAGACCAAAAAGTCTTGACCGTTTACTAAGAGAGTAAAACACTTTCTATGGTTTTTTGGCTCGTATTTCTACTTAGATTGGAAGCATTCAAAAGCTAACATTATTTTAGTTCGTTTGGAAAATCATATTAACTGAGTATTTGTTTTAAAACTTCGGTCCCTTATTATTAATTTAGCCAACATTCGAAATATTCTTTGATTGTGTAAAAAATTATAACTAAATTCGTTGTTCTATAATAATTTTGAGAGGCAGAAAATAAAATATTTTCATACGCCACCATTCCGCAAAAAATATAGCCCCTGCTTGCATGTTTTTGAACACAATTTACCATTTCTATTTAAAGTTGTACAATTGTGATGAGGAAAGAAAAATATAGTCTTTTAAGTCTCTTTCACCTAAATATATAAGACATACGAGGGTCATTCAAAAAATACGTAGACAATGTTCCTCATCGTCACATTATTATTACAAGATTATAGATCAACACATTTTCGTAAATAAAAACATTCAATTTGTCGACCTGTGAAGTTTCATTCTATTTGATTCAATTGAACTCATGCTAGCCAATTTTTAAAGCAACATGTTTTTGTTACCACGGAGCAGGATTAACCAACTTTGTAACGTCAAAACAACGTCGAGAAAGTTTCTCAAAATTAGTCTGCTTTTTTATTTCATATACAGTTTGTAGAGTCTTCTCCATTCATAAAAACGTATCCATAATACTAAACACTTTGTTTGCCATCAATTGTGCAAATAGTTTAAACTAGATTGTCATTGTTTTCAAATTCCTTAGGCCTACTGCGGAACCCTATTACTTCCGAAGCAGTGAAACGCACATCACGTTTAATGACGTTCTTAACTCTTTTTACAAGATTTTCAACTATAACCTCTTTCTTTCCAGACCATCCATCGTTTGATTTAAACTCACTACCACTCAAAAATTGTATTTTCCATTTGATACAAATACACGGCTAATTTTTCATACATTTTTTGGTTTACACAGATTTTTTTTTAAGTTTGTTAAAGAAGTTTCCCGAATGGAAAACCAATCTTATTACTACTCGCTGCTCCGTCACCTCCTACAACGTCATGGTTTTTTGTATTTTTTAATCAAGTCCATATATGTTTAAAGACTGATACGTTTTAAACGAAACGATATATTACAGTACCTGATAGCATCCGAAGTAATACAGCCAAACTGAATGTAAACATGTAAATTTCATTTTGTTACTACTCCATTTATTCGATTACTGGCTATAGAAACTACAAAGTGAAAATTAGTAAAATACTCAATTTTGACGTTGCTCCGTGACCCCATTTTTGCTGTTCTAAATCCTTGATAATTTGTACGAATATGAAGATATATTCCATTTTTTTTTTAATTTAAATTATTCAAATTAGTTGTTTAAATATGTGTACCAAATTTGGATGTAATATGACGTTAAATAACAAAGTTACGACAAAAATATGTGTACCAAATTTGGATGTAATATGACGTTAAATAACAAAGTTACGACAAAAGTCTACGAACTTTTTGAATGACCCTCGTATAAGCAAACATATACATTGAATAAATCATCCACATGTACTCATAAACCATAGAAGAAATCTATCTTAATGATAGATTGTACTTGTTGGCAATTGTATCGACCAAAGAACTTGCAAAATGTTGACTTTCATTGAGGGTGTTGGTATTTTTGTTTCATCAACTTTTTAATTAATAGCTAGTTTCGAAATTGTTTGTATGTAGGGTAATTATGCTCTTGCAATTTAAAATAGATGAGAGACATTGACCCCATGTTAAAGACTAGAGTAAATGTTTTTGAAGAACAGAACAAGCAAAGTATTATCGGCTCGACCCATCATCCGTTTTGTTTAGGACTTAAAAATTATTGTGAATAATTTTTAAATGATTATTTTTAGTAAACAATTGATTGAAAGCTACTAAACTTTTAGATCCACAAGCTTTACATTGTACAATACAGATTCTCGAGTATAGCTCGTTCTTCTGCGTATTACGGAAAAGGGAGCGGAAGGATATGGCTGGACAATGTAGGTTGCTCTGGTAATGAAATGGACATCCTAAAATGCAGAAATAATGGTGTTGGAATTCACAGATGTCAACATTCAGATGACGCAGGAGTGAGCTGTAAGTTTTTTTGGTTTCATATCTCTTTGAAAAAAAATCATCCATGATGATAAGCCCCTGTAATTGATTTTCAAGCACCTATTTTACTTCAAGGATGATGTGTGGGATTCTAATCTTTTTCAATGAATTATGAAGAACTAAAAAGAAGTACTTTCAAAGATTTTGTTCTAATTGAATATACCCCATGAATGGTGGTGGTTTTTTGTATAAGACTACTATGTGAAGAATGATGTTTGCAATTAATCGAGATTTACTGCTCAAACTAACTCTGTTGTGTATTATCGACGTATTCATTATTTAGAAAATAATAATGATGATATACTAGTAAGATGTACATTTATACTTATGTTTCCTGACTATATTACTTTTAAACAAAGGTGTCCCCACTCGTCTTGTGGGAGGCGGTGCTGAATACGAGGGTCGAGTGGAGGTTTATATGAACCAGGAATGGGGTACAATATGTGATGATGGCTGGGACGATACTGATGCTGATGTGGTCTGTCGTAGTCTGGGATATGCAGAGTAAGATACATATTTCTATCCCCTTGTTCAAGGATTAAGATTCATAACAGTAAAAATATTTTCTCTAAAATTGAAATTACATTAGTGTATATAATCACGATAATATTAATTTTCTTTTAACAGGAACATAGGAAAAGCCACCAATGCCTCAGGATTAAAGCGAGGAAGTAAAAATATTTGGATGACCAAAGTTGAATGTTCCGGATCAGAAAATGACGTCATTTCCTGTCCTCATGGCAGTGTAGAATTACGTAACTGCAGTCATGAAAACGATGCCGCCGTTAGCTGTATGTATCATATCTAATTGTAATATTGAAAACTCTATTCAGATAAAAAAAAAATGCAGTTTTTAATTAGTTTTTTTCTTTATAATTAAAATATTGATGTCTATATTTAAAAGTAAAGAAAATTAAGTGTACTAATTTTTTAAGGTTTTCAACGTATTCGTTTGGTAAATGGCAATCAGTTCGGTGAGGGTCGCGTGGAGATTTTTATTAATAATGAATGGGGAACAATCTGTGATGACAACTGGGACATAAACGACGCCAAAGTCGTCTGTCGTAGTCTTGGTTTGCCAAGGTATGTTTATATTTATTATAGTGATCACTGAACCAGTAGTAGAATTAAAGCATAGAGCATGGTTCAAAGAATGAACAAATAACGACAAAGAATTATTTTCTTTTTCTTAATACCAATTAAGTACTTCTCGAATTACAGGAAATGTAAAAATTCTTTATTTGCATAATAAATACATCTCGAATTATAAATCTCCTTCAAAATTTGAATTCTTACTTTTAAGGTAGTCCGATCTTCAGGTTTATAAAATTAGCAGTTAAGTAATCAAAACTACTCATAAAAGTATCTCTGAATCCACAGAATTACGTAAATTTATCCACAGTATTTCTTTCAAGTTAAAGATTAAAGTTATTCATATTATATAGGGAAAATTATCAAATCTCCAACATTTTTGCAGAAAAAGCGAATTGGAATATCAGCAATGTATTTTCTAATTGAAAATTTATCAACAAATATCGGGTGTATTTTAGGTTAAAAACGATAGGTATCCAGGCATTCAGAGAAATTTTCATGATTTTCATACTTATTTGGTATTTTTGGTCTTCTATATTCGTCATGTATTCTATAAAAGATAGTGAAAAGGGCTTTTGCTATCATTGCAAGACAACACAAATCACTTCTTATTTCATGTCATGCTAATAAGCATTGGTATCTAAGGCTGGATTCAAGAAAATTTTATTTATCTAAAACTGTTTTAAGTTTATTTTTATCTAAAACTGTTTTAATTTTTTTTCCTTTTATAGGGTATATATGTCAACTTTTGTAAGACCTTTTCTAAGACTTCCAAAAACCTTGAATCTTATAAAGATAAATAAAGATGAATAAAATGAAAATTGCTGCATGAAAAAATTTCATTTTCAAGCTTCATTTTGATGCATTTTAAATTAAATATTAATTTTTGGAGTTATCCTTCCTGGCTGAGGATCGGATATCCTTAAAGAGTACATTAATACACCTTTAATTGAATGACTTTCATGTTGTTCTTGTAGCTCTCGTGCAGAGGCTCGAATAAAATCGTATTTTGGAGCAGGTTTTGGACGCATTCTGTTGGACGATGTCAATTGTACGGGATTTGAAACGTCTGTATGGAATTGTATTCACCGAGGAGTTGGGGTACACAACTGTGGTGCACAAGAAATTGCTGGAGTAAGATGTAGATAATATCCCTCAATCGTTCCATTTTAGCTTTTTTTATAATATTAAATTTCTTCCGATGCTCTAATTGTGAATTGATCCCAGATAAAATTTCGTAATAATGTTTGATAGTGTAATATTATGAAACGATTTTTCTTTATTGTAAAAATGTTTTGCACATTAGTACTAGTATATTTACATTAAAATATCGATCAACAGATTTGCAAATGGGAAATGTACATACAATTCTACTCATAACTATTTTATTCTAGTTATCTTTCTTATCGTCTTCTTTCAGTCTGCTCAGTATATTCATATCCATGTATATATTGTGCACTTGTATGCTGCAAAAGCACTTCTTAAATATTACTACAATTTTGTGAACAATTTGTGAACAATTTCTGAAGTAAAAACATTAGGTGCAACGTTGTTTTGAAGATATGGGTTTTCGCCCAATGTCGAGTATGGCGAATCACACATGGGGAAAAAAGTTGGTATCAATAAACTTGGCCTTTGTTGCAGAGGATGGTGGACACAGTAAAAGTGAACAATCATCTGGCTGTTCGTCCTGCTATCTGTCAGGGAGGACTCAAACCTAACTAAAAGTAAACTTACTCCTCTATGACATCTTATCCTACCTCTATTCACGAAGTTCATGTTTGCGTTGGGTTTGAGACAGATTAAATTAAGGTACCGCGTTTGGCACTAGGTGCTGGCACGAAAAAGATCCCTCCCTGTTCAATGGCCCTAGGTGCCGAGTATAGGACAAAATTTGGATCTCTCCACCGGCAAGTGGTGGCGTCTACATATTCATGAGTGAAAACATTCTCAAGAGGGGCGTTAAACAACAAACCAACAAAACCAAGGGTACTGTTTATAAATAGAAATATAAAGTCATGCAATTTTAAAGTAAAAATTGGGAATACATGATTTGAAAATTAGGCAAAACTTTTCCTTATTGTTGCAATGACATAGTTGATAGTATTGGAAATTTTTCCAAACCACGATGTAGCAATGTAAATGTGATGGAACTATTTAGTAACAATGCACTGAGACATGGGCGTTGGGACATCGGCCTTAAAATAAATCCTTTTATACACAATATCTCATTACTACCTTACGTAAATCTAACAGTGAGGTCTTCATCACATTTACACCAAACTTTATACACAATATCTCATTACTATCTTATGTAAATCTAACAGTGAGGTCTTCATCACATTTACACCAAACTTTATACACAATATCTCATTACTACCTTATGTAAATCTATCAGTGAGGTCTTCATCACATTTACACCAAACTTTATACACAATATCTCATTACTATCTTATGTAAATCTAACAGTGAGGTCTTCATCACATTTACACCAAACTTTATACACAATATCTCATTACTACCTCATGTAAATCTAACAGTGAGGTCTTCATCACATTTACACCAAACTTTATACACAATATCTCATTACTATCTTATGTAAATCTAACAGTGAGGTCTTCATCACATTTACACCAATTTTTATACACAATATCTCATTGCTACCTTATGTAAATCTATCAGTGAGGTCTTCATCACATTTACACCAAACTTTATACACAATATCTCATTACTACCTTATGTAAATCTAACAGTGAGGTCTTCATCACATTTACACCAAACTTTATACACAATATCTCATTACTACCTTATGTAAATCTAACAGTGAGGTCTTCATCACATTTACACATTTCCATGATTGGATTCCTCGAGTCCTCGGGAATACAGACTCTGATCTATGATTGTAGATATTTCAGATCATAGGCTTTTTAAATTACTATGTTTCATGGAAGATAATGCAGCTAAAACAATCCGTTTCTTCCATAAACGTCAATATAATATAGTTACTATTACAATGTAATAATGAGAAACTTAAATCACTTACAAGGGCTGTTCATAAAATAATGGTCTGAGCTCTATGACATACAACATAAAAATCATATGACATTAAGCTTGACTTTCTCTTATAACTGAATCTTTAATGAATTGATTACAGTTCATGTGACCACTTTTTCACCACATATTTTCATTGTGAGAAGCTTGAAAATAAAGACTATTCAAGACACTGCATTAAAAATGAATGGTTTAGAATCAGTAAACTAGAGTGAAATTAAACGCTTCATGAAAGCTGCTGTAAAACTCATGAAGAATCCCAAGAAATATTCACTGAAATAAGTGAAATTTACAGCAACCAATGTCTGATTTATAGACACATGAGCAGGTGGATTTCAATGAACAAAAATAATATAATAGGCGTCAAAAATTGGTACCGTCCACGGCGACAAAGACTTACAACAACCAATGTACTCTTTGCCATAATTCAACAAATTATCACTAATGATATTCGTTTGACTATAAGACGCATAACAAAATTGAAAGGTATCATTTTTGGAGTAGTTTACACTCTTTTAAAGAAACATTTGACAGTAAAAATGCTTAGTACTCAATGGCCACCCTATGTTTTGAAAAATTAGTGAAAAAGACAGCATGTAAAAATATCTAAACAATTATCGTAAAAAATCAAAAATTGTAGTTATCCACGTTTGTCTGAAATTCAAACGGATGGTGAAACTTGAATCCATTGCTTTAAACCTTCAAAACAAATTTACAATAAGATGCACTTAAGAATTGCAAAACCACCAGAACCAGAACAGTTTTATGTGCAATGTTCTTAAATATTAGTGGTCTTATTGTTCAAATCCATTCTGTTAAAGTTTCAAGATCTTTTTTTTAATGTTTGGACCTAATTGGAATAAATCATTGTAAAGTTTTTATTTGTTTCTTTCCGAGCACCTAGTACATTGTTTATTGAACAGCCCTCTTATTTTAAAAGGACCAAAATTTCTGTGCTTTTTTAAATTATTGACATCAGCTTTTTCAGTAGAAATGAGATTCATAAATTTTCTCACTTGTCACTGGTCATTTGCAAAATATATTTTGTTAAAAAACATTCTGATTGTACACACGAGTACTCTGAAGTTGATATAGAAAAGATGTCTAAGTTTCTGATGACATTATCTATGTGGTTTTTGGAGACCTTTTTTTTCACTTCTGTTGGAATATCCATTGCTACCAATTGTGCCCAGTGATTAGCAGACATATTCTTGTATTCATATGAAACAGAATTTCTCCAAAAATCTTATAAGTGAAAAGAAGAAAACACTTGCTGTGGCTTCAACTCGACATTTAGATATATCAACGACCTTTTGGCAATTAAAAATGGTTATTACAATTCTTATGTCGATACAATATATCTCGGTGAGCTTAAAATGAAAAATACCACAGAGTCTGACGCATCTATTTCATATTTAGATTTTTACTTCAGAAAGACATTAACAGTTATCGGTTATCTAACAAGCAAGCTTTATGACAAACAATATGACTTTAACTTTTCAATCGTCAACTTCCCTCACTTATGCAGCAGCAATATATCTTCATCTCCTGCATACGGGGTTTATGCCCCTCTGTTGGTTCGATACGCAAGATCATGCTCCACGGATTAACAATTAACAATTTAACATTTTCAAAACGAGGTAAGTTATTGACAAACAAATTGATTAAAACACGAATATCAGCAGTCTAGTTTAAGGTCATCATTTCTTAGATCCTATGGTAGATACAATGACCTTGTCAGCAAACACAGTTTATCATTAATTGTCAAATGCAGACTGACGTTTTATACTAATTGTTAGGCCTTTATATACACACTGAATTGTGGACGGATTTTTCCGTTATTTCCTGATCCTGACAAGGAGCACGGCGGATGTGACTGGTAAACAGGGAATGCTTACTCCTCCATGGCACCTAATCTGAGTTCTGATGTTTTGGAGATCCGTGTTTGCTCTGCTCCTATTTTGTGATGTATATAATGGACCTTTGAGCTTGAATAGTGCTCATGATCTCCATTTATTTCATGAGTCATATTTTTCCAACGATTCGAATCACTCTTTCACTCTTTCACTGTTACATCTAGAGAGGTTTCAAAAATACCATGATCAAATTTCATTCTAATTTACAGTTTTAAAGATATTCAAGGTCTGCAAATTCTAAAAAAAAAAACGCGCTGTTTTCAAAAAGCTACAAGAGGGGTAACAGATATGCTATTTTGGACAGCACGTGGCCAGAGTCAAGTATTATTTCCAAAAATCATTGGTGAATAGTATTACCTTATAAATCTTAACCCCAATTGGTTCTAAGGAAATAAAAAAACTTTTCTCTGTTTATTTTTCTTTCCGCAGACAAACTAGTAATGTTAAAGGGGATAATGATAAATGTTAACAAGCTTCAAGTGCCCATGAAAATAAAACACAAATTGTAGAAAGAACATAATGACGATAGTTTTGAGTAGGGCACTTTACGTTTACGGGTCGATGTCAGCTATATCATAATATCCTGCGAGCCTTTGTAAGTAATGATGGAAGTAATTCTATTAAAATAATCGTACACAGAATACAAAAATTAACATTAAGTAAGATATGACAAGGATTTGTAATATCTATTGTCATATGAGATTTGTAAATGGTGATGACAGCTGATTATGAGGAACGAATCCATTATGACAGTTGTATCGTCAACTCTGTCTCTGGGGATTCGAAATTACCAAAGTTCTTTTCTGCTGGCAGACATTTTCCTTTTCGTGAAGAGCATTAAAGTAATGCTACATCACGTTCCAATCAACATAGATATATATTTGGAATCTTTTAAAGTCCATGGTGGCAGAATGGTTATGGAAGAAATCGGAATATACATATATATAATTTGACTTTTCCACCTTACAAAGAAAATTGAACAGAGAATTGGAAAAGAAGAGAAGATAATAATAATGTGACATTATGGCGGTAACTTGCTTTTATTAACCAACATCTCAAATAAAAGACATTTATTTTTACAAGTAAATGTACTATGAGTTTTAATAGCTTTCAATAACGTGGGATTTGCCTTAGACTTTATAGTCTGGTCCTGATTTTTAAAAAGAAGGCTAGAAATAGCTTCTAACGGCAAATAATTATTATTTGGTCCAGCATAGTTTTTTAACCTATTTCGAGTATGCTGATTTCGAAAAAATATGCTGGCCTTCATGAAAAAGGCGTTAAAGAGGTCAAAATGGCGATTCAAAATGGCGGACATCCAATTTTTCTAATTTTCTCTTAATGTCGTTCAAAATAGAGAAGTAAAGACTGAATGTCTAACTAAGTATAATATAACTATAAGAATTATAAAAGGACGCTAACATTATTAGTTAAACTCAGAAAATTTAGTAGTTTCTACACTTAATTCGAATTTCCTCTAATTTTTTGGTATACTTTTTCTATATTCTTCTTTGTTCAGGATTTTCCAT